TCTGAACTTCTTTCAAGTTCCGCGGTGCCTCCATGTCCATGATTGCCTTCACTTTCTCAGGATTAGGCTCAATTCCCCGCTCGCTCATCATATAACCCAAAAATTTGCCCCCCCTGACTGCGAAGGCGCACTTTTTTGGATTCAGCCTCATGTTGGCCTTCTGCATGATCCCGAAGACCCTTTCCATATCCCGGACGTGGTCCTCCTTCTTCCTGCTTTTGATTAGGATGTCATCTACATATGCCTCCATGGTTACCCCCAGTACCTCTTTGAAGAGTATGCCGATCATTCTTTGAAAGGTGGCCATTGCATTCTTCAATCCGAACGGCATGACGATATAGCAGAACACGCCGTCCGAGGTGACGAACGCAGTTTTTTCTGCATCATCTGGGTGCATGAAGACTTGGTGATAACCCCGGAAGGCATCCATAAAGCTCAGCAGTTCACATCCTGCTGTTTCGTCCACCAGCAGGTCTATTCGTGGGACCGGATAGGGGTCCATGGGGCAGGCTTTGTTCAGATCGGAGTAGTCCACACACATTCTCCAAGTAGATCCTTTTGGAGCAAGGACCACATTAGCCAACCATTCGACATGGATGACTGGTCTAATGTGTCTGATTCTTAGTAAGGTGGCTACCTCCTGCTTTGTGAATTCTCGCCGTTCGGCCGCCTGATATCTTTTCTTTTGTTGGACTGGCCTGGCATCGGGCCGAACGGCTAGCTTGTGGCAGATGAGGGCCGGATCAATTCCCGGCATGTCTTCGGGTCCTCGGGCAAATAGGACCTGGAATTTCTTTAGGACAGCGATCACCCCCTCCCTGATTCCCCCTTCAAGGTCTACCCCGATCGCAAGCTTACGATCGGGAGGGGAATCAAGCTCGATGTATTGTAGGAGGGTGGCTGGCTCGGGGCGTTCCTCGAACTCCGTACGTCGGGTCTGTACCTCAATGCTGTTTACCCGCTGTCCCCGGGTGGTCATTTGTTTCAAAGCTTCCCGGTAGCACGTTCGGGCTATGGTAGGATCTGTTCGGGCCACTCCTACACCGGTGTCAGTTGGGAATTTGATGCATGAGTGTCGAACAGAGGCAATTGCCTCCAGATCTTCTAGCCCCGGACGGCCCAATATGGCGTTGTGGGCACATGCAATATCCACCACCACAAACGTCATCCGGACAGCCGCTCGGTGGATTTCATCGCCAATTTCTACCAGAAGCTGGATGGTGCCTTCTGCCTCTATCACATTGCCGGTGAAGCTAGCCAGCGGTGTTTTTAGCTTGGTCAGCTGGTCCTTCTTCAGCTTCATCTTCTCCAACGTGCGTAAATACAGCACGTTCACACTACTTCCCGTGTCCACCAGAACTCGGTGGATCAAGGCGTTGTCTATACACATACTCACCACTAGCTCGTCCCTGTGCGGACTTGGTGAGTTGGGTAGATCAGCCACCCCGAACGTAATTGGCTCCAAGCGGCCCTTCTTTGTGGGAGGTGCAGCTACAGTGGCGACATAGAGGCTGCGCTCAAATCTCTTACGTTCGGCGGCCGTATCACCGGTCTCCCCTCCACCAAAGATGACTTTTACCTCCAACCGTGGCTTTTTTCCCGGATTCCCAGACCCCTCGGCCTCTTCTATAGGGGGAAGGTATGAATCATTACTGGGCTCTGCATCCCGCTGAGCATCCCTCTTCCAGCTATTGGATCGGGGAGGGCGCTGGTTGGGGGAAGGGCTGTTCAGGTTGGTGCTGACATACTTCCTCAGGTAGCCCTTTTGGATCAGGTCCTCAATTGCCATCTGTAGGGCGTGGCAATCCTTCGTGAGGTGCCCATTCCGTTGGTGGTATCTGCAGTAGGAGCTTGGGGTAGGTCCCATCACGGGCCTTGTGTCAGTAGGTGGAGGAATGGCGTTGTGTTCCAAATGGAAAACACCGGCTATGGACATGACCAGGGGGGTGAAGCGCGTGGACCTTCGATGAGGTGCTGCAGCTGCCGGGGCCGGGCCCAAACGTTCCGCCAGCCTTGAAGTGGGAGGTTGCGGGGCCGTTCGGTCCCTTATCCTGATTTCTTCTTCCAGGGCCGCATAATTCCTGGCCCTTTCCAGGATGTCTGGGTAGCTGGTCCCCGGATTCCTCTTCAGCTCTCTATATAAATCTCCCGTCTGAAGGGCGTCAGTGAAAAGAAGGATGGCAGTTTCACCTTCAGGGTTTCGGTCCTCCACCTGGTGAGGAATCCGGAGATTGATTCTCTAGGCCCTTGCCTCACACTGGTTAGATACCCGAAATGTAATTTCGGGGTTGTGCTGGAGGCGAACTGAGCCAAGAACAAGGTGGATAGCTCCACAAAGCTCCCGATCGACCCGGGTTGTAATGTTCCGAACCATTCCTGGGCTGGTCCCCGAAGGGTACTGAAGAACAGTCTGCATATTGCCGCGTCGGTGGCCCCCAATAGCATGAGGCCACCCTGGTAACTCCTCAGGTGTACGTGGGGATCTCCCACCCCATCGTATGCCAAGCCGGTCGAGGGACGGCAGTCCTTCAGGATTTCGGCGTTCATGATTTCCCTAGTAAAGGGAGAGGTGATCCCAACCCGTGCTGGCGGGGTCTGTTGGGGCGCCCGATTGACCTGCTCCCTGAGCTCAGTCATCTGCCTCCTCATTTCGGCCATTTCGTCGTCTTGGGCCGTTCGGGGAGTGGGTGGTACTCGAGCATCCGCATATTCCGGTATTCTGTTCTGGGGCGGAGCAGCTATGTTAGCCCTCCTCCGGATGAAGCGTTCCCCATCCCTCTGGATATACTGGAAGTTTTGTCCAACGGGATCTACCATGGGGGTAGGTTCCCTGTATCCGTTTCGAGGGGCGGACGGGGTTCGGCTGGTTGGTGCTCCTCGTCTGGGGGTATGGGCCCTCCAGTGGTTCCTGCGGCGTTCCTCGGAATGAACTGAGGCCATCGTAGTCTCTATGTCCTCCTCTTCGTCGAAAGATGGCATGGGACGCAACGGGGATGGTGGCTCATGAGTTTCATCGGTGTATCCCCGTTCCTGTTCGTCCGCCATGCGTTGCATGGCCTCCGCCATCTCCCCCATCAACTGAGGGTTCATCCTTACATCCTGGGGGATGATTTGTTCGAACTCCCGGGTGGCACTGCCACTGGCGTGTCCTTGCCTGGACCACCCCTCAGAGGATCTGTTGCCTCCTCGGCCTCTGGACGTAGAACTCGGTGTCGCGGTAGTAAGTCTAGCCATTTTCAGGAAAAAATGGTGCTTAGATCTCGGCTTTGCCTGGACTTTTAGTGTGGTTTCCCACAGACGGCGCCAATGTTGAGGTTTATTCCCGAAGATCCGAAAGCCCAACACAAGCCTTGGATATTGTAGGGATAAGGATAGGATTGAAAATGTGTATAAAATATAAAACAGTGAGATTATATCCAACTCAAGAACTTACTTATATTTAGTAATTAAGCAATTACACTGAAACTACCCGAACGGTAGATGAATATGGGATTACAAGGATGGGAGATGTAAATCTATTGCTTAAGCTCTGAGTCTTAAAATGCTAACCCTTTACAATGATCTAAACATGGGTATTTATACTAAAATAGAAATGGATGAGGTGGACACGTGGTCAAATCCGGTAGGCTGTTACTTCTGCCATGTATACACCCATGCCTCCACTTGTTGTCGTCATGATCCAGCATTAAATGCGGCCTCTACTTGATGATTGCCCGTCCGGGCAGGGTGTTCGGTGTGTGGGACCTCGCCATAGGTGTTATCCTGCTTAGGAACATATCCCGAACGCCGATCGGTATCTCCGCCATAGGTGATCTAGTTAATGGAAATGTCCCGAACGCTGATCGATACCTGGCCTTGATGATTTGGCATAATTGTTTCCCGGAATGTTCCAAGTATAAATTTTATCCCGAATGCCGTTCGAGAGTTCTTTTGGACTGCCTTGGGCCCGCTGCTTCTTCCTGGATTTGGGCCTAGGGATATTGGGCCCGGACCCAATATCCCAACAGGATGTTAAGGATGTAGGTTATGGGTTAAGGGTGAATAAAATGTAAAAAGTGAATAGAGTGAACTCAGCAAGCCAATAATGTATTAAGTAATTCGTCGATTACACTTGAACTACCCGATCGGTACGTCGGAATAGTGTTTAATACAAGAACTAGAGAGATAATTCAATTTTTTAGGCTCTGAGTATCAAAACGGTAACCCTTTACAATGTATTCAGTGCATGTATTTATACTAAGGAGGGGGTAAGTGGGATGATGACATGGCCGAACCCGGTTGGCGTCTGCCTTTGCCACTTGTGCACCCATGCCTCCACTCGCTACCCGCCACACTCTAACATTTAATGCAACATGTTACTTGCCAACTTCCCGGTCGGGCACCCTGTTCGGGTTTCAGACTCCAAATCCGGATGATCAATGCTGGTATTTCGCTAATTACTGTAAGTTGAATAATTAACATGTCCGGGATACCCGAATAGTACTCCGGGTACCCTCTCAAACGAGATGTCATGATTTCCTCTGGCCGCTTTGGATTTGCTCTTTTACTAGGGCCTTTCTCTCATTTGGGCCGCGGCCCAATATCCCAACAGAAGTTTATGCAAATGAAATAGAATTAATAGGAATCACAAAATTCTTTTATTAAATCAGAACATGACAAAATAAATGAAACAATAAAAAAAGAATGTTGACAATATTTTTAAAGACGGGGAGTACAATTAAAAATATGCCGACTCGTTAATTTTTCACAGCAAAAAACGTAAATCTCAATTTTATGCACTGAGTTGTGTAATGACCAAAATAACTAAAGTTTCATTTACTTAGAAGACCATTTTAACTAACTTATATATAATTTTTCCTTTATTTTATTAATAAAATATAATTTCAATATAATTTTTTGTAATTTATTAGAATTAGTTAATTCATCCACTTCGAATTTTATAAATTTAATCGGCCCATTCAGCCAATTACAAGATTATTTTATAACTTGTAAGTGATTTAAAGTTATTGGGCCAAAGTGTTTGATCCGGTCCAAGTAGGAAATCGCATGCCCAAGATATAACCTACCGATCGTGTAGCAAGTCATCCGATCCGGCCGGCATCTCTCTTTACCGCTCATCTCAGCCGCCAGACGCTATCTCCGTTTCCACCCCCTTTTCCCCTGAGGTCGGACGCAGTCTACACCACGCCCTTCGTCTAATATCCTGATGAGGTTAGTCGATTCTTATTTTGTTTGTTCGTACATATCTTTCTATATCTTATAGGCAGTGAATAGATCGATCAAGCTTAGAGGGTGTTGTTGAGGTTCCTTCTTTATCTTCCATTTCAGTTAAACGATGAATACTTTTCGAAATTAAGGAGTTGTAGTAAGCTGTAATTTAACTACCAACCAATACGCCAACAGTGTTTCCTTAGTACGGAGAAAAGCTCAATTTCTCAGATTAACTGGGAGAATAGTTTCCCCAGGCGGTCCAGATTTATATATAGAGAGATTATTTAGGTCTTTAGTTTAGTGTGTTTGTCTTTGCTTAGCAGAAAACCCATCTAAAAATAATATTGTTGTGATTCTGGATTTTTTTTTTTTTTTGTGCGTTGTAGTAAGTTGCAGAGTGATGCAGTGAGAGAAGCAATCTCCCAGATAATGGGGGACTCTAAGGAGAAGAATCGGAAATTCACGGAGACTATTGAGCTACAAATTGGTCTAAAGAACTATGATCCCCAAAAGGACAAGCGTTTCAGCGGATCTGTCAAACTGCCTCATGTCCCCCGTCCTAAGATGAAAGTCTGCATGCTTGGTGATGCTCAGCATGTGGAAGAGGTAATTTTGCTCTCATTTTCTTTTAAATTTTAAATCTATGGTTGCTGATTTGGGATGACTTTAATATGAATGTGTGCATGTTAATCGGAAATGAATGTGTTAGATTATATTAGTGTGCTAATTTGTTTACCTCCTAAGATGGGCCTTATATATGTGTGTGCGTATGTCATGTCAAATTAGCACACACTACTCTTCTAGGAAGAGTTACTGCTACCCCTTAAGGTTTGGTCATAATTACCGGTTCAACCTTACATTTTCCAAAGTAAATTAGTTATTCATTGAGTTTATATTATTCTCACTTTTTGCCCTCTCGTGTCAATATTTATATAATTAAATTTTGTATAACTCTCAAATCCAGTGAAGGTTGTGTACGATATCTACGCTTAAAGGAAAAACATGAGAATATACTCATGATGATGAATCATTTTGGCTTCTTCATTTTAGTCTGTTAAGCGTTTTTCTAATTTAGGCACTTCTGCTTCTTCATTTTAGTCTTTTTTCCGTAATTCATCCAGCTCAAAGAATATATTATAATCACGATGATGAATCATTTTTGCTTTAAAGAGCATATGCAGACAACTTTCATTATATTTGACAATTATATGAAGTTAAATGAGATTAATATTGATGGTAAAAGTAAACAGCAGGAATAATTAATACTTGGGTAACTATAAATGACTATTGGAAATTGAAGGTTGCAAACCTTGAGGGGTAATAAAGGGGGTAATAGTAATTTTCATATTGCTGCTCATGAATTGTTAGTGGTTGTGCAGAATCCATATTTGTTAAATAAAAATTACCAGAAGAGTATGTCACACACATTGTATGTTACAGGCAGAAAAAATTAGCATGGAGTATATGGATGTTGAAAGTCTAAAGAAACTCAACAAGAACAAGAAACTCGTGAAGAAACTTGCCAAGAAATACCACGCCTTTTTGGCATCTGAAGCTGTGATCAAGCAAATTCCCCGTCTTCTGGGCCCTGGGCTTAACAAGGCAGGCATGTGTATTTCAAACTCCTATACTATTCCTGTAAAATGATGATGCTTTTACTGAAACATTTACAGTTACATAAATATAAATGCTTATCTAGATGTCACGACTTTGGTCTGCAGTAAATTCATGCCTTATGATTCTCTGATCGTCATGATGGAGGGTTGCCTCCTATTTTATGGTGTTATTAGAACATTAGGACTTGTTTAGTTTTGTGCAGCTCATGTCTTCAATGATAATTATAATCAATTTGTAACATATAAAGCAAGTCATTTATTTTGAAAACACGTGTATTTGTAATATTTAGGTGTATTTCTCTTACTTTTAGACTACAAATATTTGTGTGTTTACTGTTTAGTCATGTCTTTCCATTAGAGCTTGTAACTTCTCTTTATTGCCAACCATCCTTAGTTTAAAAAAGCGCGCCTGAGGCGCGCAAAGGCGCGAGGCGCAGAGGGGCGACATGTTTGTCGCATTTAACTCACCCAGGCGGCTCAGGTTCCTAGAGGCGTGCGCTTTTCACGCTTTTTAGCGCCTTTTGCGCTACTCAGAGGCGAGCGCTTTTCACGCCTCAGGGAAGCCGATGAAATTCTCTGCCGATTCCAATTTCATTTTTTTTGGCGATTCAGACCTCCTTTCCGTTTCCGATGTATCTCCCGTTTGAAGCTTACGACTTTTTTTCGCTGCTAGTGTCTCGCGTCTCAGAGGTAGTAAACGAGTCTATTTACTTTTTTTTTCTGCTGCTATTTATTCTCTTTTATTTTAAGTTGTTATATTTATAAAAATATTAAATTATTTAAATAAAAAGTTAGATAACTGATACATACGTAGTATTATCTTTCGCTATTTATTAGTGTTGATAGATAACTGAAAAAAAGTTCAAGACTTTTAAGTTTGTAAGTTTTTTAAGTATTTTAAGTTTTTAAATTTATAAAATTATTTAAATTATTTAAATTTACAAATCTGTCCGTAATTAATTTTACAGATTTGAATTTGTGTGATAGTTTATTGATTAAATGTGTATTATTTTATAGTTTATTAGTTTATTACATATTACTATATCATAATACTATATAATAATATTGTAGTGTTAGAACACTGGTTTATTAACAATTTTTTAACAATTGTATATTGTTTTACACTGGTATATTCAAGCATGTTATACACTGGCAGGGAATCAGATTATCAGACTTATTAACAATATACAATTTGGAATCAGACTATATTGTAGTTTTAACAAATTTTTATATAACAGTTTAGTAGTTTATTACATTAATTGTTTGAATTACTAATAACAGATATAACAATTTATCACAAAATGACTATTAATTGTTTTATATATGAGGCTTATAATCAAATTGTATAATTCTTACAATTTTACTTTAATATCAAGTTTGTTAGTTCTTACTGTATTACTTCAACAATCCACAATGCATAGTTTTTGTGATTATTTCATTCAATATTAGGGTTTTGTGACTTGACTTTTGGCAATTATGCCTTTAAACATATGTTTCTTGCTTCTGTCGTATTGTCTTTAATATATATTTTGTTTCTCTGATGATGTTTATTAAGATTGTTTAATAGTTTGATTTTTGAGAAGAGTGCTTCATGTAGAAGTACTAAAAATATATTTCACCAAAAAAAATGTGCCTGAGATCCGTGAGGCGCGCGCCTCACCGCCTAGCGCCTCACGCCTCGGGTAAATTGATGAAAGCGCCTCAAGCCGCCTCGTGCCTTTTAAAACCAAGCAACCATCTAAATGTAGAAATAATTTTAAAAATTAATATCACCCTCCAAAGTTCCCGAACTAAACAAGTCTTCATGATGTCATAGTCTCTTTGGCCCTCGGACACAGTGGTCTATTTTCCTAATGAAGTAATTTTTTCCTGTTATTTGATCAGGTAAATTTCCAACACTGGTGACCCATCAAGAGTCCTTGGAAAACAAGGTGAATGAAATAAAAGCAACAGTGAAATTTCAGCTCAAGAAGGTTCTTTGTATGGGTGTGGCAGTTGGAAATTTGGGGATGGAGGAAAAGCAGGTGTTCCAGAATGTTCAAATGAGTGTGAATTTTCTTGTTTCACTATTGAAGAAAAACTGGCAAAATGTAAGATCATTAGCTGGTGCCCATTTTCAGATGTTTACTATTTCTCATATCCATATGAGTAGTTAGATATAAAATTTCACAGTTTTGAAGATATTGTTGTTTTTTTCCAAACAGGTTAGGTGCTTGTATCTCAAAACCACCATGGGAAAGCCAGTCCGAGTCTTTTGAGGGCGTTTGGATTTAGAGCTGATAATTTTATTTCCTCTTCCCTGTGATTTAAAACATCCATTTCTCTGTTTTTCTCTCCTTGGTAAGATTTTGGTTGAGCAAACTCCTGAAGTTTTGTTTTGCTCTAAAGAAGTTGGAACTGTGATTTTGAAATCAGGATGAGATGTCCCCATTATTACCCCTCGCTTCTCCCCTACTAGCAAGGCTGTGATCCCATTTTCCCATCCAGCTGTTTTTGATGTCTCTCCTCTGACTCTCTAAGACTGTTTTTAACTCAGGGGCAATGTTCTAAAAGGCCTTAAAAAGCGCCGCCTAGGCGGGCCTAGGCCAAAGGCGGCAAAAGCCCAAACGAGTAATAATAAATGGGCCTAGAGTTGATAAGCCAGCACGTTGGCATTCAACTAGCTCTTTAATCTTTAAGGAGTGTTTGGGTTTGCTTAAAAAAAGCGTTTTTCAGCTTTTGGCTTAAAAAAAGTTAAAAAGAGTGTTTTCAAATGACAGCTTCTGTTTAAATTAATCACTTAAAAGCTAAAAGCTGGAAGCAGGTAGAAGGGTGCTTTAAACTGCTTCTCACTTTTTTTATTACACAAAAAGTACTTATTTTACCAAACACTACCAACTTTTACTTTTCCAAAATCACTTTTTTTCTCAAACACTACCAACTTTTACTATTAATCACTTTTCCCAAAATCACTTTAAAAAATCACTTTTTTAAAGTTGAAGCTATTGCAAACACTCCCTTAGTAGCTGCCCTGAGAATAACGTAGCTAAACGCGAGGAGCATATTTATACGGCACTAACCAGGATGAACAATCCTATGCAACCGGTGTGGGAAATTTGCTAGGATAAACTGATAAAGTATTGGCTATATACGAACTTGGGTGCAATTCCATCTCACGATTCTCACCCACAGACCACAACCTTAATGTGCTTAACCTTTATACTTCGTATATACGTAGTATTATTCCCTATTATTACAAGATTAACCTTAAACAACTACTATGTATTATTATTATTATTATTATTATTAAGAATGTTGTAATCTATTTTATTATTATGTTACTATTATTGTATTTTATTGTTAACATTATCAACATCCTCACTCTTATCATTATTATTAGAGGTTTTTTTTTATAAAATACTACTATAATACGGAGTAAAATTAATTTATAGACAAAGAATGTGATTAAAATGACTTAAGTGAATTTTCATAGTCCCTATATTCTAAAAATTGAATCTAATTATAGTCGCTAAAAGTTATTAAGTCACATTCTTGTTCACTATCATCATTTTTGTCATACATTAGGCATCATTTTATATTAAAATTTTATCATTTGATTGCTTTTCCAGTTCTAGTTTTTGAGAAATTGGTAAATTTGTTACATTTACGATTGTAGAAATCTTTTTCGTTGTTGAGAATTAGAAAAGTATGATGTTCTTGAATAAAGTTATTTAAAAATAAATATAAATATTTAAAATAGATGTAGGAAAAATGATAAAAATTCAAAACGCCTTTTCCCGCCTAGGCCCGTCTAGGCTTCAAAGGCCTAAGGCCTGCGTATCCCGCCTCGACACGCTTTATGCCTTTTAGAACATTGCTCAGGGGTGAAGATCTTAAATTTGAGAATGTTTTTTGGCAAATCTTTCTAACCTATTATAGTATCTTTCCAAGATATTCACCCCGAATGTGCCAAAGAGGTTGGTGCACCCATGGGTGATGGTTGCTGCCCTAATTCACCATTAGAGTACAGCATTTGCACTCAATCGCTGGGCTAGGAGGGAAAAGACTGGTGTCTGGGTCCAATCCAAAATAAAATCATACTTTTTCTTTAAATCATTATAACATTTTTTATACTCCGTATTTGATCTTTAATCTAAAACGCACCAAAATTCATACCTTTTTATGATATTTTAATATTGTACAACTATTGCATGCATAAAGTTCATAAAAACATGCAGCGTCATTGTTAGAAATTTAGTGTTCAAACAAAATCACATGATTAAAACATACGAGTACTTTGTAAATCCTTACGTTATTAATTAATTAAAATAGAACTGAAATAAGAATAAGAATTTAAATTCTAAAGCAAATGGTGAACCGGAACTTACCACCAAATCTTGTCAAACTAGTTAGTATAGATAGAATAACTAGTTTGAAAACTAGTATTATTGGCTACTATGCCTCGCGGATTTGGATAAAAACAACACTGTGAATAGAACAGATCAAGAATAACTAAATATTGCTCACGCTTGTATATTATTTCCTATATACCTAAGGCATGAAAATCTACTCAAACAAAAATTAATACAATCTCACTACTCTTCTTATATCTACAAACCCAAAGTTTCACCCTTCTCATTATTTCATATGAATTCTCCTCTCCACTTTTTAAACTCATTTCTTCATGGCATCTTCACACAATTCCTTTCCTTTATTAATGTCAATAAAAGAGAGTAACACAACTATTATTAAATCAAATTGTATATAATCGGAGTTTGGTACGATTTGATTCGGTTAAACCAAATCAATATGTTCCCCCTAGTTGTAACACGTTTTCCCCCCTAAGCCGCCACTTCAAGTGATGATTCTCTTAACTAGGATGTAGTTGAGTAGTATTTTGGGAAATACTTTTAACTTGATCTTGATTCGATAAATTTTTTTATTGAGTATTATTTTGGGGAAAAACTCTTTTCTATCTAAATAATAATTACAATGTTTTTAATTAGACTGGTACCATTCTCATATCAAAACAAAATTTATCGAACAAAGCCCAAATAGAACAAACATGTACCAAATCAGTTCATATCAAATCAGATTAGATTAGAGTTAAACAGAACAGACTAGACTGTCCAGACTCGAAGATTTCAATCGAATTGAAATGTAAAAACACACTTTGACTCAAACATACATTGACACAATTGTACTCAAATACAATTTCATTAGGCTTCTACTTGTAGAAAATTTTACTCAGAACACAAATTAGTACAATTTCTACAAACCCAAAGTTACACCTTTCTCAATATTCCATATGAATTCCTCTCCTCATTTTTCAAACTCTTTACTGTATAATTTGTCACTGCTAAATTACTTTATAATCATGTTTTGATAAAAGAATCAAAACCACATGATTCACTGAGAGCTTAAATACTCAAAACATTAATTGTAGTATATAACAAATCTCCATTTAATACTTTTCAGTGCCTGTTTTTATCCATCAAACTTCATGCATAGTTTTTTTGGTAAGTTAAATATTTAAATATGTTAAAACAAAAGTTGGACTATTTTACTAAGTAGATATATTTCATTCGAAGCTGTTCAGTTTAGAATAAACAATTATAGATTGAAAAGGGGTTAAACTATATTAGTTCAATTCACAAACAAAAGTTGAATTGAAATGATTACATTAAATCTAGATAACATTTATTTAATTGGGATTTCAACCATTATAATTTTTTTACAAAAGGTTATGCTATATAACCAATACTCTTTATTCTTTCAATAATTATTGCATTGCAATCTTTTTCTCCCTATATATATATATATATATATAAATCTTCCACCTTTTTAGAATATTTAGGACGTTCTTAATTGAATTAGTTTATGTCTCATACTAAGTCAAACCGGAGTATACCAGATTAAACCAAATTAGACTTTGACAGTTGTAAAAAGTGACAACATCCATTATCAAATAAATAAATAACATAAATGTGTAGTTATTAGTTTTGAAAACACAGTAAGTTTCAAATGAAATTAAATCTTATGGATACAAATAGGCATTGAACAATTTCTTTTGTTTTAACCAAGCATTCCAGCCCAGCTGGTTGTGAGGTTACCGTGCCTAGTGGGAGGTCTCGAGTTCGAATCCCGCTAGGCACACAAGGGTGTGAAACTCAATGGAGTGGGTTTCAGCCCTGATTACTTCAGGCTCCCCCCAGCCCCCCTCCCCCAGACCCCCCCGGAGTAATTAAAAAAAAGAACAATTTCTTTTGTTTTTGTTCAAATTAAAAATGGTTGAAAAAACGAAAATTCATTTGGTTGCATTAAGAGTTACTACCTCTGTCCCAAAAAGATTTCAAATTTGACTTTTCTTGATCAATGGTGTTAAAGTTTAGACAATGATTAAGGTATTATATTTGTGTGTAATTTATAAATTTTATACTTTTATGGAAGATTCTTTAATAAAGAATAAGCACATATAATTTTCATATTCTAGATAATTTTGTATTAAAAGATATCATTAGTCAAACTTGACCACCATTGACCAAGAAAATCAAATTCGCCAATCTTTTTGGGACGGAGGGAGTATAAAAAATCGATTCTTTTGATTGGGTAATATAGACCGATAACATGTATGTTTAGATAATTAGTTAATATATAAGACATGTTCAATAAATAAGAATATGCATTGACAACTAGTGTTATAATCGACTAATTAAATAAGTGACTTTCCGTTAAATATAATGATTGATACATATATCACTTCCCGCTCATACATAAATAGTAAAACTAAAACAAAATTGTTTTATTCCATGCCCGCCGTTAAAGTCTGTTGGTTGCTTCATTCGATTTATTATGCTTATAATGGAGCACAATAATCAGGGTCGTCTAATGAATTTAGAGTCCTCTGTTCAAAATACAAATTTGAGGCCCTTTTTAATATAAAAAACTAAAAGATATTCTCAATCTAAATTTTTATTACACTGAAATCAATTGATTACTCATTAAATATTGCAAACAAAAAATTGCATGTATCAATTTTTCCTTTCAAATAATTAGCCTCTATAATTTTTTGTAAATTGTTTCAATTTATGAGAGCATTATTATACGGTAGTAGAGTATGAATTTAATAGCAATCCATATTCATATACAATAGTATACACTATAATATTATATTATTATATTATATAATTAAGGAAAAATTGATTGTAATAATCCCAACTATTGGCGGTCCGCTTATAATAATCCCAACTATCGATTATTTTAGAATAATACCAACTTTAGGGTCCTTCTGCCAATAACAGTCCCTATAAATATATTCATGTACTTTCTGAAGTGGATGAGAAGAGATATAGCAAGGAATCTCTATAAATAATCTTAACTTTTAATTTTTACGCTTAATTTCTATTTAAAATTCACTTTTATAGAAGATAATATTTGGTCATGAACTATTATTGGCGGATGGTCCATATAGTTGGGATTATACAAAAATAATCAATAGTTGAGATTAGTGTTAGCGGACTGGC